TTATGGCTCCTCTCTCTAGAAATAAAACCGTATTTCATTTATTCTTCCAATGCGGTTTTTATTGCCTGTATACCCCTGGTTTGAATTATGGATTAATAAGGGAAAGAGAGCTGCGTTGTGTACGCCATCCACAGACCAATAGAATGACAGGGCCTTTCACTCTCCCAGCATGATGGCTGCAAAAATTACGTTTTAATAGTGGAGCACAAATTCAGACGAGCGATTCAATCTTTCCATTCGAACTGGAGTGATTATTACATGTTTAATACCCAAAACAGGAGGAGGAAATGTGTTGCAAAATGTACTTTTACTTTCATAAAAGTATTCAAAACAAACTTTAAGGGGACTCTTTATAAACGATTCACCCAGCGAATCTCTGTGAACATTCGTGCGAATAAAGCCAAAAACAATCGTTCTTAGTATATTTTTTAAAGGTTGAATGTAATGTAATACTGCATTATGGCCACTAGATGGAGCTGAGGAGGGAATAAGTAGTTAATTTCTATGCTACTCAGATCCATCTAGTGGCCATAATGTGATGTTACATTACATTCAACCTGAAAAGAAAACCTACTAATGATCCATGATCCACCCCCTCTTCCCAAAACATGCATCACAAGCTGCAACCGCCCCCTTACGACCCCTCCCCCAAAACGTGCACCAAGAGCACCCCCCCAGTCTCAGGTAGGGAGAGAAGTCTAGGGACTCTAGAAGAGTTTATGCTCACCTTTCCCAAGCCCAACACCATGCTCTTCTCACCACAACTATCACTGAGGACTACAGAACACCTCCCCTCTGTTACGGAGGAGAGAAATTTGCATACCCGTCCTATGGGGACAATGCTGCTTCTCCATAGATGCAGTATCACCAGTGAGAGAGTGTTGCCATCCTAGGTCAGGAAGTGTGGCACTGGCAGGTTTACTAGGTGTAAAAAAAAAGGGGCAAAAAAGCCTAAAAAAAGAAAACTAGTGCAGCCACCTCATCTAGGAAATGGTAAGCTGCAGGATATTAAATCTTTGTTCTTGGGTTTAGCTATTTCACGCCACCTGGCTTCCTTAATGGGACTACCGGTATCAGTATTTGGTATCGGCAAGTACCGGAAAAAAAATATCGGTACTCAATACCGGAAAAAACGGTATCGGTGCATCCTTAGTTTATATTGATGGCAGAGAGGTCAAGGGTTGCACAGGTGGCCAGGACCATGAGAGAGAGCAGCAACCATAAGTAGCCCAGCGAATAGGTTCTTGTTTACAATCCGATGTCAGTATAAATACAGTAACAAAAATCAGACTACAAAACGTAGCCCTTTAAGGCAGGCGATAATTCTTTTCTCATGTAAGAGGCATAATAATAACATCGGAAAGTCTAAAAAGGCCACAAGTGTGAGTTTTGGTGAAACTGCTAATTAAAAGGAGGACAAACTGGTCATCGGGCAGTGAAACTACTAATGAGATTTCACACAATATATATTATTACTGAGACTAGAGTCTGGAAACAGAAGTCTCCATGGTCCATTCCATCTTCTGCAGGTGGAAAGACGGGATCAGCCCATTCTTTGTGTATGAGGGCGCAATGTCTTCTGTGGCTTTCTTTTCCCCGCTCAGTCTCCACTTTAAAAGGAAAAAAATATATATATACCGTATTGTTCGCTCCATAAGACGCACTTTTTTCCCCCCAAAAGGAGGGACATGCAGAGCATATACTGTATATTTGTAAAAAAGCTTTTAAAGTGTTGCCTATGACTCAAGGCTTGACATGTTTGGTGTCTATACCCGACGTGACCTCATCTTTTATATTTTACCCAAAAATTTGGGTAATACTAAGGGGGTTATTCACTATCTAGCCGAAAGATACAGCCGTAGCTTCGGCTGATCCTTCGGCCACCGGTGCCCTTTGAGCTGCTGTATTCATGATAGCCCGTACAGCAGCCGAGGACGGCCGAGGCATATGCTTCAGCTCGACTGAGCCGAAGTGACAGCCGACGCATGGAGAAAGGTCGGACGAAGGCAGCCGATGTACGGCTGATTTCACTCGCTTGGCCTACAAGACTCTGCTCTCTCATGGTTCTCCTCCTACCTATCTAAGCGCTCCTTTAGAGTCACCTACAAATCTAACTCCTCCCCTCTACTTCCTCTTTCTCTAGGGGTCCCCCAAGGCTCTGTCCTTGGACCCCTTCTCTTCTCCATCTACATCCCACTGGCTTCCTATAGCCCGAAGGATAACATTCACAATATTATAGTGACTTACAAAGCCATCCACAACTCTGCCCCCGGCTATATCTCAAACCTTGTCTCAAAGTATCACCCTAACCGTCCCCTCCGCTCTTCAAAAGACCTTCTGCTTTCCAGCTCCCTCGTCAGCTCCTCCCATGTTCACCTCCAGGACTTCACTAGAGCCTCTCCCATCCTATGGAACTCTCTACCCCAACCTGTCCGACTATCTCCCACTCTGACTGCCTTTAGGCGATCCCTTAAGACTCATCTCTTCAGGGAACCCTATCCCTCCTCAACCTAACCACTCAACCATCACGTTCTCATACAACTCATCCCCACACAGCTACCTCCTCATGTATCACCTGCCCCTCCCTTTTAGATTGTAAGCCCTCAGGGGCAGGGCCCTCCTTACCATCTTGTCTTGAATTGCGATTGTAATGTCTTCCCTATAATGTAAAGCGCTGCGCAAACTGTTGGCGCTATATAAATCCTGTATAAGAATAATAATAAATCAGCTGTACTGAGCCGGAGTGAATAGCAGAACGTCTCTCGGCTCTGTTCACTTCGGCTCGGTTATTTACTTGGCTGCCTTTGGCAGCTTTGTGAATAACCCCCTAAATGTTTCATAACATAACGTAGGGGAAAGTTATTTTTCAAAATTTGGGATACTTTTTTCGTTATGGAGTATACAATAAAAACCCCAATGTCAAAGTACCGCAGCGCTGAATAGTAAAAAATGTCCGGGACAGGAAGGGGGTTTAATGTAAACAAACGCTCATACTGTGACAAAGTCCTTAAATAATGCACCACAATGTAAATTCATAGTTAGTCACGAATGTTGAAAGGCATGTGGCCTGGAAGGTGGGGGGAGTGGCTTCCTTGGAGTCATGCACCAGCAGCTGCATAAGGCCCCATTCACACTGAGCGGAAAATCCCGCGATTTCTGCAGCGATATCGCGCATTTTTGCCGCGCGATATCTCGAGAAGTGATTTTCAATGGAGCTGTCTTAATGTACAGCTCCATGTCACCCGTCGCGCTCGCAAGTCGCGCCTGCAGGACCCTTTTTCCCGCGGATGTCGGGTGAATTTCCTTTTTTTAATGCAGCCCAACGGTGAAGGTTGCGCGATCGTCACCTGAACCATCGCGCCAATCCCGCCGCACGGAAATCCGCTTGAGGTAAGTGTCGTTTAGTGTGAATGGGGCCTAAGAGAGGGAAGACATTTCATTTGTAGACCTTGCCAAATATGGTGAAAAGGTCTCTTTAACCACCTCCAGGCCGACCGTAGTAAAAAAACGGCCGGCCCGGAGCTCTCTACATCTGAGCGGGCGTCTTTAGACGTCCGCTCAGACACGCCCCCTCGCGCGCACCGCTGGGCGCGCGCGAGCGGGAAATGACCGCAATTTAAAAACAGGCAGCGGTGCCTGTTAACATACAAGCGATCCGCCGGCTGTAGAGCCGGCGGATCGCTTGTATTTTGCAACGATCGGTGCTGAGAGCCGCCTTGGCCCGCTGATCCCGGGCTCCGCTGTGCCCAGTGCGAGCCCGGGATCAGCAGGTCGGTACACGAGCTCCCTCCGGTCCCCTCTCCTCTGAAAGAATGCGGAAGTGTTGTATAATACATCACTTCTGCATTCTTGTGTCACTCTCCAGCTTCAGGAGCTGCAAAGAAGCTGATGGAGCAGATCTCTGCTTCATCAGCTTCTTTTGGGGGGTCCTAGGTGACATTAGGGGTCTTGGAGACCCCTGATGTCTCCATAAAGAGGACCTGTCACATATTTTGCTATCACATAAGGGGGTTTTATTAGCCCCCGTATGTGATAGCAATAAAGTTTAGTGAAAAAAAAAAAAGAAAAAAAATTAAAGTCCCCCCCAAAAATGTTTTTAAGTTACACATAAAAAAGATTTTAAAAAAAAATAAAAAAATGTAAAAGTCCCCACCCATACATACATGCGTCGGAGGCGCATACGTGCAAAAAAGACGATTGCGCCCATTACGCCGCACATGTTACATATCGCTGCGAACGTCGGAGTGAGAGCAATAGGTCTAGGGCCATCAATCACTGATAACACTAAACTGATGAGCGGTAAAAGCTTTTAAAGCGTCGCCTATGGCCAATTTTGGGTATGGTAGTTTTCTGCGATGTCGCAGGTGCGCGCAATTTTAAAGCTTGACATGTTTGGTGTCTATTTAACCGACGTGACCCGATCTTTTATATTTGACCAAAAAACTGGGTAATAATAAGTGTTGCCTAACATAATGTAAAATAAAACTTTTTTTTTCCAAAATTTTCAGTAATTTTTCCTAATTATAGTAAAAAATAAAACCCGTAGTGGTGATTAAATACCACCAAAATAAAGCTCTATCTGTCCCCAAAAAATGGTATAAAATTCATTTCAGTACAGCGTTGCATGACGGAATAAACGTCAGACAAAGGATCTCAGCACTGAATACTGAAAAATGGCCTGGCCAGGAAGGGGGTCTAAACACCTGGTCTTGAAGTGGTTAAAAAAAAAATAGTGGGGGGGGAACTCGCGCATGCATTGCGCAGTAGTCACCGAACAACGTTTCGTACTACGTTTCCAATTGAAGACCTCGCAGCCATTTAGGTGCCCTCTAATATGCCTGAATAAATAATTCATTCTTTCCCCAAGAGAGCCAGGGAGTGTTTCGCCCTGAAAGCCTGCTCTGGTGACAGAAGCGGGCCGGACGGGGCGGAAACCGGAAGCGGGCCGGACGGGGCGGAAACCGGAAGTGATTCGTGTGCACTCAGTGAGCTCAGGAGTGCAGAGGGCGGGCGGAGCCGAGGTCCTTCCTCACAGAGCGGACGGCGGCAGCCAAGATGTCGTCTAAGAATTTTCGCGTCAGCGACGGAGACTGGATCTGCCCGGATAAGAAGTGAGGGAGGCGGCTGTGTTGGTTTGGGGGCAGTGCAAGGCGGGAGGGGGAGAGTAGATCGCTGGGGAAGCAGGCAGGCGAGGCTGCGGCCTACACGCTGTGAGGCCTGGGGTGACCGAGGAGGGGGGAATGGAGAGGCATCTCATGGGACATGTGTTCCCTGAGACGGGAAGCGGGGTGGAGGAGAGAGAGGCTTGCCATGGGACATGAGGTTCCCGACAGGGGGATCGAGAGACTTATCATTGGGCATGGGGTTACCAACAGAGGGGGGAGGGTGATACAGAGGCTTGGCATGGGAGAGGGGATGGCAAGGCTCCTATTGCTTTGGGGGGGGAGAAGAGGCTTGACAGAGTCCTTAATGGGGGTAGGGGGATGCAGAGGATTGCCATGTGACATGGGTTACAATTTAGGTGAATGATGAGGGTTGACCTGGGGTCCCGGCTTGGGGATATAGAAAGTCGACATGGGGTCCCGAATGAGGGAGAGGGCTATAGAGAAGGTCGACATGAGGTGCTGGATAGGGGAGAGGGATATACAGGGGGGTCAACATGGGGTAGAGGAATATAGAGAGGCTTGACATGGGGTCCCGGATGGGGGAGAGGGTCGACATGGGGTCCCGGATGGGGGAGAGAGATGGAGAGGGGTATAGAGCGAGTCGACATGGGGGAGAGGGGTATAGAGCAGGTTGACATGGGGTTCTGGATTGGGGGGGGGTATAGAGCGGGTTGTGATGGTCCACATGGGGTCCCTGATGGGAGAGAGGGATATAGAGAGGGTACCTGATGGGGGAGAGGGATATAGAGGGTCCACATGGGGGAGAGGGATATAGAGAGGGTCCACATTGGGTCCCGGAGGGAATCATGCCTGTGGCTTTCAGTCTTGCAATGCCTCATGGGACTTGTAGTTCCACAACAGCTAGAGTGCTGACTTTGCCTATTCCTGATCTATACTGTCCTGTGTCAATGAAATTGTAAATAGTCCAGGAGGCAGCATACACCTCCATACAGGGATACAGGGAACTATTTGTTACTTGCAGCCATTGATGTCTATGGGTACTTGTACGCAGCACTTCCTGTCTTCCAGGGAAAATGTGCTTTCATTTTACACATACGACTCCATGCGCCCCTGTGCAGGAGGCCTAATATAAACTGCAGAGTGCCATTAAACCCCCTTTTGGAAAAGTACTAAGTTATAAAGAATGCACAAAATCAGTCACATAGGTAAAAAGGAAAATAAAGCTACAGTGAAAAAAATTATCTGAGTCCTGACCCCCCTCCCCCACAAGGAAGAGATCACCGCCACTGATAACAGGAAGCAATAGATCTTCATCTTAAAGTAGAAGAAAAGGTGTCACAATAACTCACCTGTCGGATGTTCCTTCCCTTGTGCTCTGATCCTCCCTGTATACATGTTGTAATCGCTTTACTTTACGCGGTCACGTGACTGTAAAGCTCCAGCTAGTCTGAGAACTGGAGTCCTGACAATCATGGCTGCACCTAATGATTATTTACCTCATCAATTAGTTGGCTGATTGTTTTTTCGATTAATCGGAAAAAAAAAAAGTTCAATAAATACCATTTTTGATTTAAAATGAAATACACAAATGCCGTGTTGCATGGTAGTGGGCGGGAACAATAGCCAGCCTGTTATTGGCCATTTCAAATTGCAATAGCCAGTAGCAGGTTGGCTGTTGCCCGCCCACTGCTTGCTGTGCCCTCCTTGCAGCGTGGATGAGCGAGCTAGGTGATCCAACCAACTAATCGATAATGAGAATTAGGGCTGCAACAACTAATCGACATAATCGATTATTGAAAAAGTTGTCATCTTTTTCAATAATCGATTAATCGGCTTCCGATCAGTTGGCCCTGTTCACGGCTCCACACACGCTGCGCGCCGCACCTCCTCCCCAAATCACGCTCACCGCTGCCAGACCCGCCCTCCCGCATCCACGCTCTACACGGCGCACCTCCTTCCCGCCTCACACTCACCACCCGCCCACATCCACTGACAATTATCTGAGTAAAATACAAGTGTAGAATTCTAATGCTAACAGCAGGTGGAGCTCAAGTTGCATTGTTTCTGTGTCTTCAGGTTTATTTACTATAAAATAAAGATTGTATACATATAGTACAAAAAAAAAGATACAAAACGTCAGTTTAAAAACTCAGGCTTAAAAATAAATTAATAACAGACCAGGCCCCAAACAACTCTAGTTTGTGTTTAAAGGAAAAGTACACTTATCCTTTTTCCCTCTTTGCCGTAACGTAACCCACCCTTCCCATTCACAGATACTTACCTGAATCCAGTGGCTGCAGTCTCTGATGTTTGTTTACATCCAGCATCACAGTTGACACTGTTCTGGTTGTGCCTGCGTGTTACAGTCCCATAGACATCTATGGGCTTATGTCAGAACGTCCGGAGAGAGGAAGGGAGACTGCCCTATAGAAGTCTGTGGGGCTGTTGTGAGAAACTGTGACCACTACAGTGAGACTTGCAGCACTGAATGTAAACAAACACCAAAGGCCACCGCCGTCAGATTGAGGTGAGTATGCATCTGTGGAGGGGGAGGGTTAGGTCAGGGCAGAGTGATAGGTGCACTTTGTCTTAAGATCACTTCTCTCTAATGCTTTGAGTTGCTGACCTGTACCAGGTACTCTGATTAGAAAGTCAGAACTTTTCATCTGCATACAAGTTACAGGTCTGTGCCACACAAAGTATTAAAGCTGTTGGGTCTGTATGACAATCCAGCAACTACCATTTTCAGGAGAGGTCAGCATTGGAGGTTTTTAGTCCATGTTTCCGTTTAGCAGAGATAGTATATCAAATGCCTTGGCAATCGACTGGCTGCTGTGACATCACAGAGCATCGGGCGGCACTCTCCTTGGTGGCAGTGAATAGTTTCTCCTGAGAACTACTGATGTGATTAGTTATGACGGCATTACTGGAAAACCTACGCTGCGATGTGCATTCATATTGCTAGGAACAAAGCCATTTCATGGATGTCTCAGTATTGATCCATATGTCTTCCTATAGGTTTTTACACTGGTACGAAAAGTTCTCAACATGCAGCAGAAATATGTACTGATTGTGCTAATTTAAACTCTGTGCATTGCAAATTTGGGTGCAAACTGGTGAAATAAAAGGTTTTTTATTTATTGTGATGGTTCTTGTTTAAAGGAGAACTATGAGGTGAGTGCTTTTCACTCACCTCATAGTTCTAGCCGACCTGTGACAATGAGACTGTCAAAGGTCGGCTCAGTAGATCGGGAGGTGAGCGAACATATACCGGCATTCGCTCACCTCTCAATCCTGTCACGGCTCTCTGCCGTGACGGGAGGGGCT